CGAGACTACTGTCGTGCACGGGGGATCCGCCAGACCTTCACGCTTCCGGACTCTCCACAGCAAAATGGGATTGCTGAGCGCCGCATTGGCATGGTCATGGATGTCGCTCGTACGTCCATGATGCATGCGGCTGCCCCCCATTTTCTGTGGCCGTTTGCAGTGAGGTACGCGGCGCATCAGCTCAACCTTCACCCCCGGGTCTCTAGGCCTGCGATGTCCCCAGCCTTGCTTTGGACGGGGAAGGTTGGCGATGCGTCTGCGTTCCGTGTCTGGGGATCTCGGGCGTTTGTCCGCGACTTGTCTGCGGACAAGCTGTCCCCTCGTGCTGCTCCCTGTGTCTTCCTTGGCTTCCCCACTGACGCCCCAGGGTGGCAGTTTTACCACCCCTCCTCTCGTCGTGTTCTGTCCTCCCAGGACGTCACGTTCGACGAGTCAGTCCCCTTCTACCGTCTCTTCCCCTACCGCACTCCTTCCCTCCCCCCTTCCCCGGACTTCCTTGTGCCGGTTCCCCCCCCGGTAGACCCCCTCCCCCCTCAGGTTCCTGCCCCCTCAGGTGTGTCCCAGGTAGACGCCGTTGACCCGGTCGAGGTTACTGGTGACTCTGGTGCTGCTGCGGGTGCTGAGCCTGGGGGTGCTGACTCTGGGGGTGCTGTGCGCGGGGGTGCTGAGCCTGGGGGTGCTGGGCCTGGGGGTGCTACTGTGGACGGTGCGGATCCTGGGGGTGCTGAGCCGGGGGGTGCTGTGCCTGGAGGTGCTGGGTCTGGGGGTGCTGGGTCGGGAGCTGCTGAGCCTGGGGGTACTGAGCTGGGAGCTGCTGAGCCTGGGGGTGCTGCGTCTGGAGCTGCTGAGCCTGGGGTTTCTCCTGCTACTGCGCCTCGCCGGGAGCCCCTCTCTCCACAGGAGCTGCGCGAGTGGTTCGCTCGCCGCTGGAGGCGTGCTGCTGAGTCTGGGGGTGCTGCTGGAGCTGGAGCTGGAGCTTCTTCGACCGTCGAGGGTGCTGGTGCTGCCGGTCCCGGAGCTGCTGGGCCTGCGGGTCCTCCTGGAGCTGGAGCTGCTGAGGGTGTTGGTGCTGAGACTACTGCTGTTGGTCCTGCCGCTGGAGGAGTGGGTGGCGCTGGTGCTGTCGCTGAGGGTGCTGGTGCTGTCCCTGCTGAGTCTGGAGCTGCCGCGCGGCCTCGGCCGTACTTCGTTCCGCTCCTGCAGCAGGTTCTTGGTCTTTCTCCTCCAGTAGAGGGTCCACCGCCTGTCCAGTCGCCGTCCCTGCTAGAGCCTTCCTCTCCACTGCCTGCTCCCTCTCCTTACACTGGTCCTACTGGAGGTCTTGCTGAGCGTCGTGAGCCTGCGTCTCGTCCCGCGTCGCCTGTTCGTGCTGCTCGCGCTAGTGGTCGCAGTTCGCGTCAGCGTCCTCCTCCTGTCCCTGGCACGCACCGGATGTCTCTGCGTCCGTCCACTGCTCCTCTGCGTGCCCCTTTGCCTTCTCCTCCTGAGTCCTCTCTACCTGCGCTTGCCGACCCTGAGTCGGACTCCCTTCGTGCTGCCAGTCCTACTGTCACGCGTCTGCTTGCTACTGTCGTCACTGACCCCTCTTTTGAGTCCACCGCTGCGTCTGCTCTAGTCGCTGAGCTCGTCGACTTTGCTGCTCGCTGTCGTCTCGACTACGCTGCTAGTCTTGTTGCTGAGTCTGCGTCTGTCTGTCCTCCGTCCGTCGGGGGTGAGTGTGCTCTTGGCACGGACGTCCTAGAGGACAGGCAGGAGGAGTTACTGTGCCTAGCGGCTGCTTCACCTCATCTCGCGTCTGTACTGCTTGCCCCTGAGGGAGACCCGGATGCACTAGACATCCCGACTCCGCGCTCTTACGCGGAGGCCGTAGAGGGTCCCTACTCCTCTCAGTGGCAGGCAGCTATGGATGCAGAGATGGCTTCCTGGAAGTCCACAGGCACCTACCTTGACGCGGTTCCCCCTCCTGGGGCGAACATCGTCAGTGGCATGTGGATCTTCAGGGTGAAGCGGCCGCCGGGCTCTCCACCTGTCTTCAAGGCGCGGTACGTTGCTCGTGGCTTCAGTAAGCGGCAGGGAGTTGACTACTTTCAGACCTTCTCTCCCACCCCGAAGATGACCACTCTTCGGGTGCTGCTACACATAGCCGCTCAGCGCGACTACGAGCTTCACTCTCTCGACTTCAGCACTGCGTTCCTGCAGGGTAGCCTGCACGAGGAGATCTGGCTGCGCCGTCCACCTGGCTTCACTGGGACTTTCCCTCCTGGCACCCAGTGGAGCCTCCGACGGCCAGTCTACGGTCTCCGCCAGGCACCACGTGAGTGGCACGACACACTGAGGACTACGCTTGCGGCTCTTGGGTTTGCTCCTTCTACTGCTGACCCGTCGCTGTTTCTGCGCACCGACACTTCTCTGCCGCCGTTATACATCCTCGTGTACGTCGACGACTTGGTCTTTGCCACAGCGGACACTGCTGGACTCGCCTACGTGAAGTCCGAGCTGCTGAAGAGACACACGTGCACAGACCTGGGTAAACTGCGCAGCTACCTTGGCTTGCAGATCACTCGGGACAGAGCACGCCGCACCATCACCTTGACTCAGTCACACATGGTGCAGCAGATCCTTCAGCGCTTCGGCTTCACGTACTCCTCGCCTCAGGCCACTCCTCTGCCTACTCGCCACTCACTCTCAGCTCTGCCTTCGGATGAGTCCGTAGAGTCGAGTGGTCCGTATGCAGAGCTTGTTGGCTGCCTCATGTACCTGATGACCTGCACACGACCTGACCTTGCATACCCTTTGAGCATTCTTGCACGCTATGTTGCTCCTGGTAGACACCGACCAGAGCACATGGCTGCAGCGAAGAGGGTATTGCGCTACCTGTGCAGTACGTCGGGCATGGGGCTAGTGCTTGGAGGGCGGAGTCCATTGGTCCTTACAGGCCACGCGGACGCTTCTTGGGCTGACGACCAGGCTACGCAGCGGTCGTCGCAGGGTTACACCTTCAGCCTTGGTTCCGGCTCTGTCTCGTGGCGGTCTACTCGCTCGTCTTCGGTTCTCGGCTCCAGTTGTGAGGCTGAGATCTACGCCGGGGCCATGGCTGCACAGGAGCTTCGCTGGCTCACCTACCTGCTGACCGACCTTGGAGAGCCGCCTCGTTCTCCTCCAGTGCTGTACGTAGACAACAAGGCCATGCTGGCCTTGTGTCGAGAGCAGCGCTTGGAGCACAGAACGAAGCACATTGCTCTTCGCTACTTCCTTGCTCGTGAGCTGCAGCAGCGTGGTCAGTTGCGACTTGCGTACGTGGCCTCTGAGGCCAACACTGCTGATGTGTTCACCAAGGCACTCGCGCCTTGTGACCATCAGCGCTTCTGCACCCAGCTGGGTCTTGTGCCTGTCTTGCCTCACTTGCTCTCCTCTTGACTTTACTTGTACTGTGACATATATATACCTGCTCTTGCTTGTCTTGTTTTATATATATGTCTGTACTCCTGCATGTGAACTGGCCTCTGGCCCTGCTCTTGTGCTCGGACTGTGTGGTGACTTTGTGATCCACCCTGAGCTTGCTTTTCTTTGCTTAACTGGTCTTGTGACCCCTTGTTCTCCCCCACTTTGCCTATGGGGGTGTGTCAGATTACTATAGCTGATGCATGTTTGTAGGCTATAGTGGGGTAGCACATATGGGGTACAGCTTTCTAGGGTTGTATTTGTACCCAACCTTGACTTAGTCATTTCATTCCTGCTTACTTGTTTCACAGTCTAATAAAGGGTTTGTGAACCACCTTGCGCTAGTATGTGAGGGCAAAGTGAATTGATTAAAGCAAAGGGATACAAGATTATATATGAATACAGAGAATATGAAGAGACACAGTTATAACTACTTTACTGTTGCAGTTGCGGTTCGATACAGTGACGACTCGGGCAACTGCTATGTAACGAGTCAGTTGTGTGTCCTTGCTGTCGCGCTGCATTTGTCAGGTCGAAGGTCACTGACCTTTGGCTTTCGCGTAACCTACAGCGGTTACTTCAACCTCCGAGGGTTGACTCGCTGGTGCCTCGATATGCTCTGCTTCGCTTGTGCCTTAGTGTTTTGACACGACAGAGGCACTTAGGAACGATTGTTTCCAACAAATAAAACCTTTATCAAAGTGCTAGTGAGAGTTAGGCTTAGGAGCCATAGCTTAGGAGCCTTGGTTGAGTTCGAGTAGTTGAGTTAGAGAGAAGTCGAGAGGAATGGAACAAAAGAGAGGGGTTTCACTATTGAGCAAGCAGTACAAATAGGCAAGATGAAAGGTGCACCACCAAAACAAAACATTATATAACTACAGTAGTCGACACTACAGGCAGTTACAAAACAAGATGTAGATTTATATATTATTCTGACAACCTTAAACCTTAAAACCTCACCTCTGGTTAATACTGTTGGAAACAACAAGTCTTAAGTGCGCTTCTGTCGTGTTAAAGTCCAAGGCACCAATCGAAGCAGTCCCAATCGAAACATCGAGTCAACCTCGGAGGTTAGAGTAACCGCCTAGAGGTTACGAGAAAGTCAAAGGTCAGCGACCTTTGACTCGACAATTACAGCGCGACAGTTAAGGACACACAACTGACTCGTTACAGAGCAGTTGCCCGAGTCGCACTATATCGAACCGCAACAGCAATACAGTTATCTATCTATTCGTATTCCCTGTACTCTTATATAAAACTCTTGTACTTGTTTGTTTAATCTTAATCTACTTTGCTCTCACACACCAGTGCAAGGTCGGTTCACAATCTTCATTAAAGCGCTTCCGCTATTACAACTTTTACTCAAGAGTCCTCCTCTGCAAAGATCCTAAGGCCCTTTTCAGCCCAACAAATACTGTAGCCAACCTTACGATTAGCACAATTGGTGAGAAATAGGCATGATTTCGATTGACCAGAGGTTTGACAAGAGGTTCTGACCAGAGCCCCGAATGCACCCTTAACCTACATATGTCGCTCAGCAAACCGTAATACGGTATTACCTACTTCTGGCTCTCTAAACCTACAAAGAAAGAACTGTAACTGGTGATAGAAGGCACATTTTCCTTTCTCATGGAGCCTCCTCCTCCCCTTGCCTTGGCTTGCTGCTGCCACAACAATGCGCCAGGGCTCTTCGCAAACAAGTGCACACCCAAACTCATGACATCCTGTGGCAGCTGCTTTGGAACATGTGGTCCACTCGTCGGCACCTGAAACCAGTCACACATTAAAAAGCATAGGTGGGTGCACTGAATAATAAACAATCACGTTTGAATTAAGTCGGACATAAGAAAAGAAAAAGCAGGAGGTCGTGATGGCAGGAGAATGAGCAGGTGTGTGTGGGGGGGGGATGGTCGGAGTGGAAGTGGTCGAGTGCTCTGAGAATCAGTGATTCGCTAAATGCAAATAGTTCATTACATGCATCTCATAAGAAAAAGTACATCAGAAGGGCTTACATAGCAGGCAATGGAGGTTGGATCGTGAAGCACACTCGGAGGAACCCAGCCACGTGTCGCCGAGCCTGCTGCAGCCCCATTCCGAGCCTGAGTGCCTTCTCTAGGCTCGGCAGCATCCGAGGCCAAAGCAGGCTCGGGAATCCCACTAATTTCCCGAAGCTCCCTCAACTCCTTGAGAAATCTCTTCTGAACACGACAAAGGGGAAACGAGAGAGAGAGTAAAAACTCATCAAAATGCGTAAGGCAAATGGTGTTTAATGCTCAGTAGGGGCCTGGTATTAACGACTTTCAAGAGGGACAAGCAGTGGAAGGAACACCACCCCCTGCTGAGAAGATCAAGATATGAAGGCTTGGCATTAGCATTCCACACTGCTTGCACGAGCAATGCTCCTGTCGATACACCAAAATGCTTGACCGCGCTGTCGATACACTGGTTGCACAAGCAATGCTCCTGTTGACGCACCGGAATACTCTACGGCGCTCTTTCAGGTTTTTCTACAGGCCCTGCCACCAAACGAGGTGTCTTTTGAGTTGACTCAAAAGTCTCCTGTCGACTCACCGGAATGCTCGACGGGGCTTTCGCAGGTTTCTCTACTGTCCCTTCCACCATGCGGTTACCACCACCACCAACGTTCCCCTCCTCCCTTTGCGCCTCCTCCCCTTCACCCTCCTCCTCACCCTCTTCATCCTTCTCCCCTGCCTCTCTCCCAACTCTTCCTGACCCACCTCCTGCTCCTTCTCCCGCCTTCCCTTTGCCGCCCTCCTCCTGACCCTTCCCCGAGCCTGGACCTCCCGAACCCGCTCCCCCGTCTTCCTGATTCTCTTGAGCAGCATCATCGTCCACGTCATCATCCACGTCATTCTCCTCCTCATCCACGTCAGCAGCCTGCAACTCCTCCCCCTCCTCCTGAACCTCCTCCTCCTCCTCATCCTCCCCTTCATCCTCAACTTCCTCAGTCCCCTCATTCCCCTCCTGCTGAACCTCCTGAGTGTCTTGAATCTCTTGAATTTGCGAACTCCCATATCCCTCCAAGTCAACTACCTGCCTGTCCCTTGCTCTCCCACCTCCTCCCTCCCTCCTCCCCTTCTCTTCCACCACCACCACCTCCTCCGCACCGTCTGTGCTCCTCCTCCTCCCACTCACTTCCATAACCTCCTCTTCCTCTTCCTCCCCTTCTCTATCCCTCATTTCAGTCACATCCTCCCCGCTCCCTTCCCCTGCCAGCTCAACAGAGGGCGTGGACACGTCAGCAGCAGCCCCACTGTCCAGAATCACCGGTTCTGCGTCGTCAGCTTCGTCCAATGCCACCTCAGGGTTATCAGATGCCAGCTCAGCACCATCCTCGTCATCAGAATCTGTATCCAGCTCAGTAGCCTCGTCACTAGAAGCTGCATCATCACCAGGTGCGGTGGCAGCTGTAGCAGCAGCGATGGCACCAGTTGTAACACCAGCAGCAACACCAGCTGTTTCACCCTCCTCCTCCTCCTCATCCTCCTCCTCCTCCTCCTCCCCCTCCTCCTCTGTTTCACCCTCCTCTTCCTCTTCTCTCTCACCTTCTTGCTGCTCAGAGCCTCTCTTTTCCTCCCCTCCCTTCCCTCCTCCTCCCTTCTCTTTCCCCAAACCCCCACCTTCACCCCTTTCCGCATCTTTATCATCCCTCTCTTCCTCCTCCCGCTCCTCCCGCTCTCTACTTTGACCTTTCACTCTCCGCTCTGACATACCTTCCACGGCCCTTTTCTCCTGCTCCTTCCTCTCCTGCTCCCCACCCTCCTCCCCCTCCTGCTCCCCACCCTCCTCCCCCTCCTGCTCCGCACCCCCATCCTCGCTCTCATTATCCCCTCCCTCCGACTCAGTTGTCTCTTCAGAATCCGTGTCTGCATCTATTCGCCCCTCTCCGTCTCCCCCCCCATCCGCACGCCTATCCCTGTCTTCACCCCCATATGCACGCCTATTTTCGTCTCCCCCTGAATCCGCACCTTCACTCCCATCAGTTTCCGTATCTGAAGGAGCGGTGGTGCCATCGCCCCCCTCCTTAGTCTCTTGTTCAATAAGCTTTAAACCCCTAACCTTCCTTCTCCTCCTCTCTCCCTTTCCCCCCCTCTCTTCCTCTTCCCTCTCCTCTTCTTCACTCTCCTCCTCCACCTTCGCCCTCCTCCTCCTCTTCTCCTCCTGCTCCCCTTCCTCCTCGTCTCCCCCTCTCATCCGCCTCCTCCTCCCCTCACTCCTCCTCACCCCATCCCCATCGCCCCCCTGTCCCTCCTCATCCCGTTCGCCCTTCTCATCCTCTTCCTCTTCCTCCTCCTCCCTCCTCCTCTCCCGTTCCTCCTCTCTAGCCCTCTCCTCTTCCTCCTCTCTCCTCCTCTCCTCCTCCATCTCCCTCTTCTTTTGCAACTCCCGCTCCCTCCTCTCCTTCCTCCGCCACTGGTCAAGTTCCTTCTTGGAGATTTCCCTCCCAAATTCTAGGGTGCGTCTCTCTTTCCGTCGAATCCCCTCACACACAACACAGGGGCACCCCTCTCTGTGAGACTGCGTGCCTCTGTGAGTTTGATAATAGAGAAACACGGGCGGGATTAATGGTAAGGAGTGGAAGAGAGGGGATGAGATGAGATAAGGGTCTCTCTTTCCGTCGAATCCCCTCACACAAAACGCACAGACACCCCTCACACAAAACGCACGGACACCCCTTACTGTGGGAATGCGTGCCTCTGTGATTTTGAAAGCAGAGAGATACGGGAGGAGTGGAAGAGAGGGGATGAGAGAAAACCCTCGCCTTGCAATGAATTCCCTCACACACAACGTACGGGCACCACCCCTCTCTGTGAGACTGCGTGCCGCTGTAAGAATGTTACCGTAGGGAAACGAGAAAGCGGAAACATTATGGGGAGTGGGTGTGACAGCAAAACCCCTCGGGTCACTAACTGAAAATCAACTTGTCGTTGGGGATTATACTATAATATAGCAAATATATATACTATATATATATAAAGAAAAAAAAAAACAAGCAGCAATCACTCACTTCATGTTCGGTGCCGGCCGGCGATGATGCTGCTGGTGGTGACAACATTGGGCCTACTCCTTTCTCTCTCGCTGCTATCTGGGTCGACTCAAAAACTGGAAACAAGCACTCACTTCTTCTTTGGGGCAGGCGATGCTGCTGCTCGTGACTGTATCACGCCTCCTTCTCCCCCCTCTAAGGGACTTGCAGCAGGCCTCCTCCCCCTCCTCTTCCGAACCACAGACCCCCCTACCCCCTCTCCCTCCATCCCCTCCTCCCCGTCATTGCTCGCATCAGCAGTCCGTTTGCCTCGCCTTCTCCTCCTCTTCGCCTCTCCATCACCTCCCCTACCTCCCCTAGACCCCTTTCCACCCCTCCCACCTTTCCCTCTTGTTCCGCGTTCTTCTTCCTCCTCTTCCTCCTCTCCCTCTGCGTTCTCCCCTACTCCACGTCTCCCCTTATTCCCTTTCCCACGACGCTTCTCAACGTATTTCTCCTCCCTTCCACCCTCCCCATCCTCTTCCTCCTCTCTTTCTCCTCCCTCCCTGTTACCCAGCGCCCGCCCCCCACCTCCCCTTCCTCCTACACTCTCTCGCTCCCCCCCACTCGACTCTCCACTCCCTTCCTCCTCACTCCCCCTCTCCTCCTCTCCACTGTCCTCCTTATTGGCGTCCTCGCTATTACCATCCCCTCCTTCCTCTCCTGCCAACACCCTATGCCCCCTCTCCACTCCCCCCATCGTTGTCTCTCTTCTCCTCCCCTTCCCTTCCAAATCCTCCCCCTCCCCCTCCCCATCCCCATCTTCCTCCCTTCTCTTCCCCCTCCTATCCCTCCTCAAACCAGCCAATCCCTGCCTTCCTCTCTCTCTCCTCCCGTCACCCCCCCTCTCCCCTCTCCCTTCCGCTCCTTCCCCCGCTTTCACGCTCGGTCTACGCTTCCGCCTAACCCGCTCCCCATGTGCAACCCCGTCTCCGCTTTCCCCCGATACATCGCCTTCCGGACTTCCCGGGCTCCCCAGTTCCCCTTTTCCCCTAAGAGGCGGTCTCCGCTCTCTCCCCCCTCCGCCGCCGCCGCCGCCAATGGTTTCTCCGCCGTTCGATACGCCGCCGTTTCGGCTCCGCTTCGTTCTCTGCCTTTTCCGCGGAACAAATAGGGCTTGACCACCGTCAGAGTCCGGCGAGTCTTCGTTATAGTCACCGTAAGATCGCTCCGGAGTTCCCGTTATTGTCACGCCCGCTCTTCTCTTCCTCTTACGCGGCATAATCTCCATAGACTCGGTGTCGTCTCGCCCTGATGGCGACGCTCCTACTTCTGCCGAGCCGTTCCCGCTATTATCCTCGTCTACGTACGTGTCATCTTTATGTGTTTCATCTCCTCGATGCGTTTCATCTCCCTCAGAGCCCTCATCGATGCTCTGATCCGAAGCTTCAGCCGACGCGGTGTTCTCCTCGCCTTCGCCGCTCGACGAGTAATCCGCAAGACCGACGCGCGGCACGCGTGCGCGAACAATCTGATCCTTCGCCAAGCTCGCAACGGAAGTCATTCGTAACCTCGCCATGTTCAACCCTTAATCGTCACGCAAGAGAAAAAAACAACAGCAAGAGACAGAAACTTCTACTGCCGTAACCGTAAATTGATCGTCCACCAGCGTCGCGCCTACCTGACCGAAATCAGCAGTAAGTAAAGATGCTCTGGTTCCTACTGGCCTTCAGTTGTGTGGGAGAAAGTAAGTGCTATCAACAAGCATTTTGATCGTGCAGGTTGTCGAGTCACTCCTCAGCGAGAACAATGAGTCAAGAAGCTTTTGGTTTGAGGGAAGTCTCGACAAAAACTTAACTAAGTGCCAACACTCCCGGTGTCTCGAAAGACACAGAGGGTTAGAGAAGACAAAATGCTTTTTCCAGTTCTGCAAGAAGCACCCCGCCTCAACCTGCCTTGCACGTCAGCTTTCCCGCCAGAACGAAGTGCCAGGAGGACCTTTTTGGCAGTGACTGACCTCGAGAATTCCGAGAAGCCTGGCAAAATTGAAGATCTGCCATACCTGCCTGCTTCAGGTACAGCCTTCTATTCAGTCTCAACGGTTGAGTGCGTTATGGTGCAATTTAGTTCGGCTACTAGATTTACCACTTTGAACCGCTGCTGAACTTTTTAGACCTTGATACACCAGCACTTCCGAATATGCCTGACTGCGCTCCCCAGTGTTCTCAAATCTTCAGACACCAAACCTGCTTCGTTTCGTATACGTGTCTCTGGGACAAGCTATTTTATGCTTTGTTTCCGAAAGTTCCAGTTGCATGTGTCAGGAATTTGGCCAGGCATAAGAAGTGCATTGAGGCATCCTGTGCTACCGCGTCTTATCTTCACGTATCTTGTTGCTCATTCTTCGCGGTTTCCAGCCGATTAATACCATTTCATACCCACAGGAACCCGACGCCTTCTGTTAGTCTTGGCGAAGTCACTCTGCAGAATCTAGGGCATTCTTGGCCTTCCATTTCCTTTTATTCTTCTGGTCGTAAATAATGGCTCACAAGGCAGATGACGAGTACGATTACCTTTTCAAAGTCGTGCTGATTGGAGATTCCGGCGTAGGAAAGTCCAATCTTCTTTCTCGATTCACCCGCAACGAGTTCTGTTTAGAATCAAAATCCACGATCGGCGTCGAGTTCGCAACGAGAAGTATCCAGGTGAGTATTAGGTCAAAGAGAGATGGTGCTCATCTGTTCCGTTTTCTCCATCCATCTCTCAGAGTCATATCATTCCTGAACAATGTTTAAAGCCGTTGTATTACTAGTGTGTTTGCTGATCGTACCATCCTGAATCATTCAGGTTGATGGCAAGACGATCAAGGCTCAGATCTGGGATACCGCTGGCCAAGAGAGGTATCGTGCCATCACAAGTGCGTACTACCGGGGAGCGGTCGGCGCGTTGATTATTTACGACATTACGAAGCACGTGACTTACGAGAACGTTGAGAGATGGCTCAAGGAGCTCCGCGATCATGCGGATTCCAACATTGTCATCATGCTGGTGGGGAACAAGTCCGATTTGAGGCATCTACGTGCTGTTTCGACCGACGACGCTCAAGGATTTGCTGGTAGGTTGTCTTTCTAACGAATTCCACTTTTAGCAAATTTTAGCATTGTATTTTTTTCCATTTTGTTTGGTCATAAGTCGGATAAGAGGCATCTACGTGTTGTTTCGACCTACGATACTCAACGATTCGCTGGTACGTGGTCTCTCGCTTAGCAAATTCTAGCATTGTGATCATTCTATCGGATTCAAGCATTGTGATCATGTATGGTGGAATGAGCTGGATTTGAGGCATTCACGCGCTTTTTCCACCGCCGACGCTTAAGGAAACATGGTAGGTGGTCTCTCTCTCGCAAATACTTTATGACATTGCGATTATTCTGGTTGGATCGAGTAAAAAGTGAGGCATCTACACACAATCTTGACTGGTAATGCCCGAGGACTTGCTTGCACGCGGTCTTTCCCCTCTCTAGCACACTCTGTCTCGCACCCTCTCTCTCCCTCCCTTGTCACCCTCTCTCGTGCTCTCCACCATACGCACACACAATCCCGCGCTCGCACACGCAAACACGTACACTCCCCAGAAACACAACGAGACACACGCACACACATACACTCACACTTGCACACAGACACCCAACAGACACGCATCCCTACACATACTGCACCTTCACACGCAGCAGCACCCTTTCAGTGCATATGCAGGCACCACAGACGCCCATTGACTCGTACATGACATTTCCTTGGTACAAAATCAAAACCATGGTACAGGCTTCTTGTATTCCGTAACTGGAACTCAAAAGCTATTTTGTCAATTCATGTGCTGACACGGATGTGTAGTGTGCAGTACCCAACACCCCCTTTTCTTCATCCCCGTATTTGAAGTGATCCCTGGTAGGGAAGGCCTCTCATTGTCTCTACATTCAACGAATTTGGAGAACGCATTTCACTTGGTGCTGACAGGTACCTAGTCGGTTGTGCAATGTGCAGTATTTAAAACCCCTTTCTTCATCTGCTTTACAGGAAGGAAGGCCTTCTGCTCATTAAGACATCAGCGCTGGCAGCAACAAATGTGGAGACTGCACAGTGGGTGTTGACAGATATCTACCTGGCTGTGCAGTTTCTTACACCCCGTCCCTTTCTTCCCCTCCCCTTCATCCCCTTTCTCACACAATCTCCAGAGAAGGAAGGCCTTTCGTTCATCGAGACATCGGCACTGGATTCAACAAACGTAGAGAACGCATTTCACCGAGTGCTAACAGAGATCTACCGCATTGTGAGCAAGAAGGCTCTGGCGCAAGAAGAGGGTGCGACTGCAGGGCCTGGAGAAGGCACTTCCATTCTGGTGGGAGCAGATGCTAACGCCAACAAGGGGGGGTGTTGCTCAGCTTAGAATGCTGTGGCGAGCTGGTGTACTGTTACGCTCTCTACTCTTATGATATGTCAGTTTGTAAAATTTGAGGTTTATGTTACGGTAGGAGTTATTGTTAGGATGATGTTTATACAGTACTGGCATTGTTATTTTGGTGCATATTGTACTGAATGTATGGTCACGTTTGCATGATTCTGCAAGGCAAAGCAACTGGAGCAGAACTTCATTTATCCACTAGCTGGTGAGAGGGAAATTGCACTGGAATGGGCTAAATGCTTAGTGACATGGCATTATGAAAAATAAACGTAATCCAATCCTTCTTCCATGTTCAGAGAATCTATTATCTCCTCAAACGCACCGCCGGTAAGCCCTCTTTTCACACACAGCAGCAGCGGTGGCCTGGCTGCAGACCAATGGATCACCGGCAGGGGTTTTTTTATCAGAGTAAATTACTATGTTTCTCTGAAAATCAGAGTGGTTTTTAGGGGGTCACTCTGACGTGTCTGGGTAATTTTTTTGGAAGATAAGTTTTCTCTGATTTGTCAGGGTTCTGAATTTAGCTTCTCTGAGAGACCAGTGTATATTTGTGGCGGATGTCCTTTTCTCTGTACAGGGTATAGGCATTTCGACCGACCCGCCTCACCCTGATTGTTGGGCTAACTAAGTCGATAGTCGTTAAGAATGGTGAGCGCGTAGCACAACGCTCAGGTTTTTTTGGTAGCAGTGCAGAAGGCCTGGGTTCAATACTTGAGGGGACACTCAGAGTTGGAAAAATAGGTACACTGGGTGCCCAGAGTATATTTTTCAGAAGTTAAGTTTTCTCTGACAAATCAGAGTAACGCTCATAATGAACCCTGAATTTCAGAGTTCTCTAGAAAACAGCTCTGGAAATCCGAGTAGTGAAAATCCAAAAAAAAGCCTTGATCACCGGCACAGCTCGTCCTGACTCATGGTGTGTGTACACTCCTCTAGTTATCTTCTTCTCATCCACATCACAAAATGCAATCACCTGCAGCAGGTGAAGACAATAAGCAGCCACCCTCAGGACTCATACGTAGTGCCTTGCAGAGAGGAAAATGCGGGATTTTGCCATGATGTGTGACTTCTGAGTCGACTTAATGATGTCATGGCTAAGGTTTGTTATGCTGCATAACTTATGCAGTACCTTGGCTTCGTTCGATGGGGAGAGAGAGCGGTAGAGTCTCCTGCCCTCTTTGCCAGCATTCCAAATTGAGAAAGCTAGCTTTCTTATTCTTACCGTATGCATTGGCATCGTTCTTATTACAAATGGCTTATTACCATATCACACCGGATAGAAGCGCAGGCCTATGATAAGCGCGTGCGCTTCTATCTGGAGCAATGCGCTTATGGCCGATCCTCAATTATAAGCGCATCCCCTGTGAAAACATTACTTTTTATAAGCGCATGTACAATTTTATATCAAAATTTCTGTTTAAAACTTTAGTGAGTTTCAATTTCGAAGCGAGTACAATCTCATTTTCGCCTAGCTTGACTCTTGAAGACCTGACTGGCTGCGCGTCCAGTCATGATGTGCTGACATAACTGCAAAGTGTCGCATCTTGGCCCCTCTGTGATGGAAGAGAATCGCTTGCACACGATTCTGCTTTGTGACGGGAAAAAAAAAACGATCGGTTGAAATGGCAAGATTGAAATATACAGTTTGGTGTCTTAAAATTACAATTCAATGTCATAATATAAGCGCATGCGCTTATACAAATGACTCAATTACAAGCGCACCCCCCTAAAAAACACTGCTTTATTAAAAGCGCACCTGCGCTTTTATCCGGGGTGATACGGTACAACATTTGCATCAACGTTGAATACAAGCTAGTGCAATCGAGTAACAC